CCTTCAAATCTAGGATACACTGTAATAAGCTACTTGAACTCACTTTTGGCCATTTACCAGTACTGAACAGTCTGTCATTTGAAACACACTGAAATGTTGTTGATCTGTTGTGCATTTTCCTGTATGGACTACCAGTGCATTCAAGACAGAGAAATAGAAAGCAACAAAAAGATCTATTTAGCATCTTATGAAAGAGAAGTGTAATCATAACCTTAGGAATACTTTTCTTTCACTGACAATGTTAAGGAAACCTGGAGAACTTCAGCCATTGGATTACTGTGTATTTATAGAAGAATTGACAGCCATCATTGCCCTGAGCACACAGGGCCATGTCTAACAAACAACTTAATTGCCTACCATGGTGTAAAATAAACACTTGCTAGCAATTAAAACAGTCAAGTATTGTGCACAGACTCTGACATGAGCTTCCCGGCAATGTCTTTTCCACCTCTGTTCACATGTTTTAACTGCAAGGCCCAGGAAGCTGATACAAGAATATTGCTGTCCAAGGATATGGAGAGATGGCTGCAAGCAATTATGTTGCTGCAGATGTAAGGCAGTCAAGGTCAAAGTGGCCTGATCTAATGCAGTGCATCTTATGTTTCCACTTGAAGCTGTTCTAATCAGATTGCTGGCAATTTCTGTGTGTCCTTCAGTGAGGCATTCAGCTATCCACAACCAGAGACCAAGGTCTAAGTCTTCATTGAAGGATAAAGATGTCAAGGACTGCTTGGTTAGCTTTTTAGGTTCACTCTGAGAGAATGGGTGAACTTCTTAAGCCATAAACTTGGTTAAGGAAATTATCTACAGGATTTGACTAAAGCATGAGAGATGTTAAGAGTCACTTGAGACTCTGGAAAAACAAACTCATGACTATTCCTCCAATGTGAGGCAAGAGAATAGGGTGGAGGGACAAAACAGATGGATCTTTATAGAGGACTACTTGCTGGGGTGAAAAACAAACAACAGAAAAAACCAGGATAAACAATTGTGTGTCTGTGTTTAACACAGACCTGAAAATCCCAGCATTATCAACAGAAAAAAGAGGGAGTAAGTCCCCTGTGCATAGCAAGGCCAGGTGTTCATTATCCTTCAGACTGACACACAGTTTCTTGGTAAAGCCTCAGTCGACAGTGCAGAACAAGAAAGTTTCTTCAGAAGAAACCTCAGAAAAACAGTTTCATTAGGTAGCCATGGAGGAATGAAATTACTCATATGTTGCTCATAGCATGTGTTAAAAAACTCGGCAAGTCATGTCAGCTATTTTTCTTGACTAACATATAAAAGCACACACATTAAAATATATTTCCTTCTTCAGTTTACATAATCAGAACACCTTTTGCTTTCCTGGGAAAGAATCACTCATTTATTTTTCAGCTTCTCAACTGGGCACAGCTGCCTCATGACTTCACAGCCAAATCACCCTATGAAATCTGGTGTGGTACCATTAAAACAAAGGAGAGATGAAAGAAGATTAAAAAGGAATGGCAATTAGCAATTATTCAGGAGCACGTACTCCTGCCAGTGACTCTTCCAAGATGCAGGAGCTGCTGAGCTAGCTAATGACAGCAGTACAACTCATAATCTGTAACCACCCTGTTGGCCTGTCTCAACAGGTCAAAGTTAGGTAATTCACCAGGAAGCATCAAAACCACTTGTGTCTGCTACAGCAACTCCAGGTGTACCAAATGTCACTCTTCTCTGTCCAAAACCAACTCATTGCTTCCGTGAAAGTGTCCTGAGAAGACACGAAAGGAATGAGGGCATGTTAAACAGAGCCTTGAATGTGCTTCCAACCCATGTGGGTCAACATCTGGTTCCAACCCACCACCACTGCTACTGCCAGCCGTGTCTCAGGAGCAGCTGCTGCCAGAGGTACTGGAACATCTTCCTTGTGGCACTGCACAGATTCTTTTCAAAAAAGCCCCAGCAACATTAAAACTCTACATCTTATGAGACAGTTACAAAACAACAGATACAAACTTTTGCAGACAGTCCTAACAAGCAAATCTCCCTTAAAAACAAAGCAGAGATTCAGCCGCAGTTTATTTCCTGACTTTCCTCCCCACCCCCGCCACTTTTAAACTTGCTTTTAGTTTTGACAGGAAGAGGTCTCTGCCTGGCCAGAGGACACACCATAAAGCGTTTTCCACAGCTTTCCTCTTCTCTAGATCAAATCCAGAACAGTTGCAATGGAAGCAACGTTTCCTGTTCCCCCAGACATCTCGCAAGTCAGTTCTCTCGATAGGCAATAATACAGGACTTCCAAAATACATGCTATAAAGACTAAATCTGCCTGCCAACATTCTCTACAACATGATAGAGAAGAGCCACAGTAGTGTTCCTTCCACCAGCAGTCAGAAAAAACGAAGGAAAGCATTTCTACTATGTCTCTGCAGTGTAACACAATAGATCATATTCCACCTTCACCCCCAACACCTTCAGACTACAGCAGCATTCTTCACAGCACAGTCTCCTTGCACTATTATCAACACAACTCTTCTACCATGAGGCAGGCTAAAGCTAAGCGTGGCAACAGGGACTGGGAAAAAAACACACTGCTTATCCTGCTCACTAGCTTACAAGGGCCACAATACGTTTTCCTTCATTTCTTTCACGCAATTTCCTGTTGCCACTTACCTGGACAACAATGGTGAAATAGCAACTATGTGAACTCACCACTTTCTGATGCATTGTATGAGAGAAAAGCCAAGTCCCTTGAGATGGTTTTTGTGGGCCAAGAGAAGGCTGCTATATCTGTTCACACACCCTGCCCCACTGTTCCCTACCAGTAACTATAAGGCAACTCAGACCAATACACAAATAAGCATCTTGGGCATCCTCTAAGGAAAATAATCCTAAACTACAATTGATCAAGATGTTTTCATTTTAACACTAAAACCTTCATGCCATTTCTTTCACGTCTTCACCCCACCACAACTTACCCAGCAGCAGAAAAAATAACTAAGCTAAAAAAAGGCAAGGAAAGAAGAACACAAGCACTGAGATGACACAAAGCGACAGCAGAGAAACCTCTTACTGCAGGGTTCCAGTTATTTATCATGTATGGCTTTCATTTTTATTTTTCTTTAATTTAGTTCAGTTTCCATTCAAAGTTTAAAATCAGTCACACCCAGTTAATTACCATCAGCCTTTATTTCTAGCCAAGTAATTAAATGAACCTTCCCACATTCAGCAGAAGAGAGCTTAAAAAAAAATGAAAATCTTCACAAGAAACCTGACATCAACCCCACTTCCTTTCTTCCTGCACTCTTTATTTGTCACTGGGGTCCATCTTACACAAGTGTGTTTGTGCAAAAGGGTACATGGGCAAGGTGGAAGGTCAAAGGGCAAGAAAAAAACCCACCCTAAAAAACTTGCAAACGGTCAGCTCATCTGAGGGTTATATAAAGCAAAATGCAGCTCCAAGCAAAAGGTAGCTGAAACGTGGCAGTAACTAGTAGGAAAAGTCACCTTCAGCTGCAGTGACACAGGAAGCTGGATTGAAATCTGCCAATCTGCATGCTTCTGTGCGGCGTTTGGAATCCATTATGGACACAATTGTGCCTCTGGGGTAGGGAGCTTTTCTTTTAAGCTGTTCTTAGAGGTTAGGAAATAAATGAAAGAGGTGTGTGTGTGCTTGCCTAAGCAGTGCATATGGACTGATTCCAGCTCTCCTATTGCACAGCCAGGACCCATGAGTTTAAGGAGAGCTTGACTGGCCTGTTTGATCACCTGTAACAGTTTGCCCCGCAAGCTCCTTCTCTGTCATAGCTCAAAGAGATGTACTACTGAACCTCCACATCTCCACAGAAGTAACCTACATTTCCTCAGAAATTTTACCACCAAATATTATTTGTTACTATATCCTAAATTAGACGAGACACTTCTGATTATCAGCTGTGGTCACGTAGGGTACACTGAGATTAAGATATGGGCTCTTTGATAACCTCTCCTCCTGGCCGCAGAGGCCAGACGATTATCTCGGGGCTAAATGAGACTAGTACCTGACGCTTCAAAGCAAGGTGCAGAAAGCTCATGAGTAATAATTGCTGATTGTTCACCACATCCATCTGTGGTTTACAATCTTTGTAACTTTTACCCAGCCTAAATTCAACCAATGATTTGAGCTCTCAAAACAATATTTTCTGCATCCCCGCCACAGAGAGCTGATGGTCAGGTATGAGTCTCATCTTGCCCTGAGACAATCATCCTGCTGAGCTACAGATGTTATAAGTAACTAAACTTTTTAAGTGAATTGCTCAGCTATTATTTCACCTCAGGAACAGGCAGTTTCAGTACTAAAACAATAAGAGGCCAAAGGTACCTTCAGCTAGTAAGTTAAGCAATGTATGAAAAAGTAAAAGCCATCACTTTCATCAGAGAAAACATACGACTATAAACTTTGCTATTATTCCTTTTGTGCAATTGAGTGTTTTGTTATGCTCCTACATCCTGAGAACTCAGTGTGGAAAAAGTGATCAAAGAAGAAATTATGTCCCAAATATTTTGCAGTAAGAAAATCTGTATTGGGAATGAGGCAGAAAAAGTACATGCAAAGCGCCTCTGTGCATGCGCTAAATAAATTCCTCTGCCCTTTAAGGCAGCAGTTCTCTGACTGAGAGTACTAATCCAACGTGCAGTACCCACAGCACCAGTGTGGCCCAAACACACAATCACATGTCTGTCAAATGAGCTGGGACACAATACAATGGTTACTGCAGAACTAGAAGGTATTTGAACACAGCAGAGTGAATTTGTACTGGGTCAGAACCATTGTGGCCATAACAGACCAGGAAGCTGGATTCACAGCTTTGCTGAATTACAGCTTTGGGTAGATGTAACACCATGCTAAAATCTTGGAGAGACATCCCATCTTAGCAGCTGTCAGTATTAAGCAGACATCGATCAGATTAAGAATATTCCTTGTTTTGGCTACACAGCACAAGAAAACATAACCATAGTACAAGCTGTGGTGTGCACTGTGCACCTTCACTCACCTCTTTCAGTTCCTGTGCAACAGAATTAAGGCGTTCGTTTTCAGACTGTGTGTTGGCAAGGACATTTCTGAGCTGCTTCAGTTCTGTCTGCAGCTCCATAACCTTCTTCATGTAGTACTCTTCCTTGGTAGCTGATTCCTGAATCAAGGTCTCCTCTCTGCTCTCTCCATCTGCTGCTACCTTCTTGTGGTTGCTATGGGCCTGCCCAAAAGCCTAGAACAGTCAGAAAACAAATCTTTTATTAGTAAACCCAGAATTTTGCATAAGTAATTTCAATTTTCAATAGCTGAAACTATTTACCCTCATATCTCTAAACACAAAACAATGCAACCTTTTCCATACACCCTCTTCTTCTGGGCTCAGACCTTTAAATGTCATCAATTGGTCATGCTTTTGAAAGTAACACACAGCACCCAAACAGTGGTTTGTAATGCACAGGATACTTAGGTAGAACCTCTCATAAACCCTTGTGGAAGGGAATAGCAAGGTGTTGATTTGAGACTGCTCTTAAGACAAGACTTTGGTTTTCAACAAGACTACTGCAAGATTATTAGACACTTTTGTATATGCATATTCCCTATAGTTGGGTCAGACACACTTCTGCAAAAACTGAATCACTGCAAACAGATTTAGTATTAACGGCCTCTTCCATTTCCTAGGCTGGGGGCACACGTACTCCTCCTGATGCAGCTGTATCAAAGAAACCTATCACGACCCTCAGCTGCTCATCGCTGGAGATTACTGCCCCTGCAAGCTTGCTCACCCACTGCAGCCATAAGTAAGCAGTGCTAGCAGGGCTATTCCATAACCTGGTTAAGCTTAACGTGGGTCATTGTGGCTGAAGTAGGTCAGCGGAGGCTCACCCAACCAGCTCTGCTGATGGAAACGTCATCTCTAGCAGCATGCCAGCAAATGAACTCACACGCTGGTCACAGAGATCTAACCTCTTCAGCATATCAGGCCTCTGCTTAAGCCTGGCATTCTCATGTCTTACCTGCCTCTACTTCTTCTTGAGGATTTTGGTTTTACTCAAAACTACCAGGGGATGCTCCTAGCAGCGCTGTTCTCCAACACATGAGCAAGAGGCCCATACAGACACCCCAGCCGCTGGACTGCAGCACTTCAGAAACCCATCAGTGGCTTTCGCTAACAGACGTTGTACAGCAAGGAGTTTGACATTTTAAGCAGGAATATATTTGTAACACACAGCCTAGCAGATGGAACAAAGTCAAATGAGATCAATGAATGCTATCTTTTAACTGCTGCATGTGTGTGCACCACAATCCAACCCGGGATGTATTTGGAGCTTTCAGGTGCCACAGCATCTTTTCGGATGCCAGTGTCCATATGGCAGGTTTTCATAGCTAACATTAATACCAGGCATTAAGTCAGGTCAAGGACAGATCAGCATCTCATAAAACTCCTTGTCTAGTCATGCATAATATTTTCAATTAATCATCTTTTGCTAGCTCTCTTCTGTCAGTGCAGAAAAATATCTGCTTTGAAGAGAAGAAGATTTCAGTATTTTATTACATCTGTATATTAGACCAAACACATTAATAATACAGTAATTACTGAATATATCAGGGCTGAAACAGATGATTGAATGTGCTAGCTCTGCCTATAGTTAAAGACACCCACAAATTGCTCCTATCAGATTAAATTTTATTTCAGATAAGCAAGTCAGAGATACAGGAGACAAATATCCATTGAAGAAATTCTAGCCAGATTCACTAAAATGACCAAAGGGAAATTAAAAAGCGTCACATTTCAGACAGAAAGTAAAACACCATCTGTGCAAGTCCTCGTCAAATGAGTTTCAACAAAGCAGCTTAAAAGCCTAATACTCAAGATGTCCATAAATGTTAAAGGCATAGCAAAAAAAGGTGCAAGCTTCTCAAATACCCTATCTTTTTTTTTTTTTTCCCCCATGAAAAATCAAGACGCATCTTTTACAGTCCTGCATTTATTACAAGTCTCTGACACAGGGAAAGGGACTCTGGGCATCCATTTGCCCAGTGAAGTGGCATCATTTTCTTGGTAGCTGGATGCCAATGCAGAGCACACTGAAGGTGAGGATACTCAAAGCCACCTCTGATCAGCCAGACAGCAGAGTCCAGGCATGATTCAAGTGAGGAACTCAGTAATACCGCTAAGGGAGAAACTCTTGAAAATAATAATGAATTTGCTCTTAAAACTTCTGATGCAGATGCTAGGACTTCAGTGTCTTTAACAACTGAAGAGAGAATGGCATGATCTTGCAGAAGGCACTGTCTGAACACAGAAACTGGCATAGCGGATGAGACTGGGCTTTTTTCTTTTTAATCCAATCTCCTGTCTTCTACAGAGGCTAATGCGAGATGCTTCAGAGAAACGTTCAAGAAACCACATAATCTCCCAGAGTTGGGGATTGCATTAAACCTTGAAGCAGAATGCTTAACGTAAATTTGGAAGAGCTATTAACACTTAGTTACCCATATTTCCTATGTATCCCCTTATTTTTCATGGGCTTATGTATTGTTGGCCTCAGTAAGATCATACAACAATAAACACTTTATTTTAAATCATACTTGTAGGTGATAGTTTTTTGTCAGTTTACAAGTTTCCCATGTTTTCATGAAAGAGAACATATTTTTGTTCAGAGACTTGAAGCTGTGTTGTTATTCCATGATCCCGTGTAAATCATTCATGGTTCTTAGAGAATTCCATCACACCCTTCTATTCCCTGGTGAAGGTGAGGTGAACTTCAGTAAGTTATCATCACTTTTATGTTTGAGAGGGTTTTTTCCATGCCCTAAGACAGTCAGACTCACATTTTAGAAACTGCCTTTTATTATGGCTTGTCCCAAACGGCAAGGCTAACCCAACCAAACAGGAACCGCAGATGTCAGCTCACACAGACCAACTGCAGAAATGAGCTCATGGAGCACTTCTACCAAAAGATGACCCAATTCTCTGTGGGCCCCAGTTATTTTTGCACAGCAAGGCTGTTATTTGCCCTCAATCAGCAAGCTTTTGAAGTTCCAGCAGCAACCCTGCCATTACTTTGATGGTATTACTCTCTGGGGTCAAGAAGATGGGTACAGAACCATGAGTAAAATGGACTCTGACACTCACAGAACACAGGAAACCTTCTTAACAGACACGGTCAGAGGACACGCAGCCTGGAACAAATCCATCTGGGGTGGATTTAGAAGCAAACACTTACATGCACCTCCATTCCAGTCTAACCAAGCTTCACCCTCTTTCTCTTGTACATACTTGGAAACAACCTCATAACATTCATGTTAAACACAATTTTCATAACTGTAACAGCCTGTGTGGAACAGGAAATGAACAAAATTGTGCAAAATTACAGGACAATGCAATTACCTTCCATGGCTACAGTCCAGGCCTGTTTTAAATCAAGCTATTAGAAGAAAAACTGACTTTTTACTTATATGCATAAAACCCATAAACCTTCACACACCCAGAAGTCCAGCATCTACTTGTTCATTTTTGCTTTAATATTATATAAAACACAGAAATAGAAGTCCAAGTTACTCTGCTCTTCTTCCTCTTCCAAAATATCTCTTTCTATCTACTAAGCTACCAAAATAGGGAAGAAGACTGTTCACAGTTATGTCAGAATGACAATCTTTGGAGTATAATCTCTTCACAAAATACATGAGTTTGACAACTCATCTGCACATAACTTGCTGGATACGAGAGCTGCAAAGCATCACGTTCTGCTGAACAGCTGCCTCAAGGAATTAAAAGACACTAATATTACAGTACTACCAAAGTCCCCTTCTTCCAGATTACCCAAGGTCAGATCAAAAGCAAAATCAAAGAGTTCATGAACCAAAATGCTATCCTTCTATTTGCTCAGTTAGGTAAGCTCATCGATACACTGGAAAACACTTCACACTGCTGAACAAAGTGGGATTAACTTTCACCACCAGACAGATCAAAAGCTCTCCCTTGTTTTTCACACTACCTGAAACTAACCAAAAACAACCTCCATCCTGAATGCACACAACCTCGTATGGCCAGTTCTCTCTGGACCAAGAACATGAAACACTGCCCAGCCAGGGTGTTGGCAGCTACATGGTGCGAGGACAGCACACTCTGCAAGGCAGCCAGGAGCACACAGTCCTGAGAAATGCACCAAATCATGTAGATGTTAATTATCAGTTATTGCTAATAACCTGCTGCCAAAGCCACTGCGAAGTTGCAGATTAACTGGAACCCTGACAAGTTTTCTTTTGTCTAGCTGCCATTCCCTACCAGCCATACCAGTACATGTGGTCCTTCAGCCCACCTCCCCCAGATACACTAGGGAATGCTGCCCCAGGGCTAATTATGGCACCCCTGAAGCCACCAGGAGATTTACCATGATGATCTGATGAAGGTTTACAAAAAGAGGTATCATCAACCAAAACATTATTAAATCAACTTTCATGTTTGTAGCACTACTTGCATCAGCAGACTCAAAGCAATTAGAAAACACACACTATCATATTTTTAAATAGTCCAGAAAATCTAATTGCCAAAAAATCAAGGCGATTTCTACAAATTTAATATTCAGCTGTGATGTCTAAAATCTCAAGAATTCAAAATTCTCCACAGTAATTATGAACGGGAAAAAAGGAATTTGGATAGCAAATGGATGAGGCAGACTCATCCAATAACTGAGATGTTACATAAAATGGTCAAAACCAGCTCACTTCAAATTAAGCTCTGGATCAAGCTGCATTTAAAACAAATTTAAAGTACCCAAAAGACAGACACAGTAAAAAGTGAAGTTTCCTCTATGTTTGATGATTACACAGATTCAGCTACATGTTTTGTAGGAGGAATCTGATCTCAACCTTCTTCTAGATGAGCGCATAGTTTCTGCGTGAAACCCATCACGCTGAAAGTCTTTCCTATAAAACTCCACGATTGGAGAAGAAAGTATTCCTAGTTCCGTGAAGATTAGCATACTTGTTATCAACTACTTCTTAACAAGATTGTTAAGATTTTAAACCTATCCTTTTTCAAAAAGTTCCTTCATGCACAAATGTTCATTCATCACGTGGAATGTGAAGAATCTCTGAAAGACACTTTTTGGAGAGTTTCAAATGCTGAGCACAGAAGAGAGAATATTATATTCTCTCAGAATAGCCACTGTGATACAGTAGTTGCAAAAATTTATCTCAGTCATGCTCAAAAGCAAGACTCTA